ACTGCGTCCCGAAGCATTTTAGCAAACGGAACCGTCTGACGGAACTGCGCCACCAGAAACACTTTTGTTTCCGCCCAAGTGGTGGCTATCTGGTGACTACGTGTCATACCACTGTCGAGCATGACCCCGTAGTCTCGACGTGATTAGTCTCATCACGCATACATCATCCCACGCGAACGATGCCGCCATCCCATCCACGGTGCATACCCAGTTCTCGATCGTGATCTCTTCCTTAGATGGATCGTAAATCGGGATTAACTTTTTGTCCGCCGGGCGAATAAAACCAATCGCCTTTGAACTCGGCACCGACGGCCCAGAATGTCCAGAACAAGTTTCTTCCACCCGGCCTTGTAGACTCGATGACCGACTGGTCAATTCACGTCTCACCACCCGCGTGTGTGACACGGAACGTTCACGCGTCGCACGTTTCGAGACACGCGACCGTGAACGCGATCGCGAACCCGTAGCCGCATGACGGCTCTCCGACACATGAACTCTTCCATGAGAACGCGAACCCGATCGTGATTTTTCTTTCGAAACACGAACACTTGCCCGCGAATTCAACCGCGAAAGTGAACGCAACCGCGCGACCACTTTACGTTCTCCAACATTGCGCGATTGTGCACGCGAACGTTCACGCGATACACGCCTTATCGACCGCGAACGCGAACGTAAACGTGAACGCGAATGTGCGTCATGCCGGCGCGACGGTGCACGCGAACGCGAACGATTCAAAAACTCCTCCATCATATTCTCCAGTCGTTCAAGTCGCGATTCTGTGGTATTTCCACTTGTTTCACCATGTTCATGACTGCACGACGCCATTATAGATTAACGAAGAGAACAACAAAAAAAACAAAAGTCCAACACTAAATGTTCTACCCACTTAACAGTCCGTACACTGGACACGCTTTAAAAAGTCCTTGCACAATATACAATAATGTCTATTATTGCACAGTAATAACATGTGTGACACGTAGATTTATCCCACTTCTGATTTATAGGAAAATCAGGAAAACGAGCGAAATAGGTAAAAATAACGGATTGACCACAATTTAACCAATGTATGCCTTGTTTATTCCTGTGACATGTTGCCACGGTCACAGTTAGCACAAGAATGCCGCCTCGGCAAAACCCTGGCCGTGAGGACACCAACGTCACCATGGCCCTTAAAAACTATACATTGTATTCTAGCCTCATAAACTTTCCCTTGCGACCCGGACAGCTCTCTGACAAAGCGCACATGGCCTACTCTCGTCCGATGCATCTACCTAAACTCTAAATTTCTAACATTATTTTATTTAAATAATTTTGAGTATGCGTTTCCACTCTTCCGTCAGTCGTATTTTTAATTCGTCTTTTGTTTTTATAGGGGTGGTCTTAACATTACGATCCAATAAGTCCCATAGATTTTCCTTCGGATTTAAATCCGATGATTGTGGTGGAAGATGGAGCACTTTCGGACAAGCATGTAGTAAATATTCCTGAACTATTCTCGGTTTGTGTTTCGGATCGTTCTTGTGGTAGAACTTAAAACTGCCGCGCATACTCATATTCGTTGCACTTTTTAATAAATTTTGCATCTTCAATAAAAACCAGTCCTTCTACTTCAGCAGTAAAAATGCAGTTCCATATGTACTATCAAACCTCCGCCGCCGTGTTTCATCGTCGGTCTCATATTACTTATTTTAAATTATTCATTCGGTTTACGCCACACTAATTGTCATATGTTAAGGGGGGACACCAGTATGACGCAACCTAAAACGGGCCTATCTTTAAACGATCGTCAGAGTTTTGTTGCTTCAGAAAAATCAAATCTTTTGATGAATTCGGTTAAAATGGACCTTTATTTGAGTATTTAAAAAGAAAGCAGTACAAATAAGGATTAAAAGAAAAGCAGTACAAATAAGGACGGTATAGTTAAAAACAAAAAAAGATAGATGGTCTGCACTTCGGCGCACTTCCTCACTGTAACCAGGGTACAGATCAAACGCGTCATTTGAAATGCATAAAATAAAATTATAAATAAAGGAAATCAATGCTGTTTTCGGCCTAACCTCCGACCTGATTTGATTATTCAATCTAATGGCATATAAAAATTATCAAAGTGGCAAAACCCATAATTACGCAAATTTTTCCATTTTATTTTTTTTTCCAAAATTAGATTTGTTTTCTGGAATGTTTTAGGTTAGGCCGATAGCCACTGATTTGAAATACTACCACAAAAAATTTCAAGGTGATCTGAACCTCCGTTTAGGCTGTAGGCTGGTTGCAAGGTCCAAAAATGGTGTTCCGAGAAAAACGAGGTTAAAGTTATATGTGCATACGCGGGATAGTGTTATGTCCGATACGGAAACAGGTCTAGCGACGAGAGTTTTTCAAATCTTTAAACCCGGTTTTCGGCATTATATGCAGGAAAGACGCGAGAATTTTTTAAGATGATAAAAAAAATCGATTTTTTGAAGGTGTCATACTGGTGTCCCCCCTTAAGTCAATTTCATGTTACTTAGTGTAACAAACCCAGTATTTCACATTGTTCCTTTCATTAAGTCAACATTCATACACGCAATTATATATATATATATATATAATTGAATATACATATACTTACACACAAAAAGGTTCTTGTCAGAGCCATATGATGTGCATAATCTGTCCAGCAACCTCTCCGAGGTGCATATCAGGTTATGCTAGTGCCAGCGGTATATGCCATAAATGCAAGGGTTTCTTTAAAGTTCTGTATCTCTGCAGGAAAAAATGGTCGCGGCTTTTCACATACTGCAAATTAAAGATGAAAGTTTATACTTTATGCTGCTGTAAACAATATCACCAAAAAAAATGTGGCAAGTCCATGCATTTCGTCAAACTTTATAATTTTTAATATTGCAAACATGACTTACCATTGACGGTGTTATTGTGGTAGGGATGCATCAAATCTAAATTCAAAGTACAGGGTCATAAAATAGAGATTTCAAGCTTTAATGAAAAAAAAAAGAGTACAAATTTGCAATGATTTTTCACGGAGTTATCATCAGTCAAATTCGGCTAATTTTTGCCTAAAATTTTTCTACGCCATATTTCTTTTGTGCACTGTATATACATGTATATACATTCTACACTCCAGAAGTTTGAACGGCTTACTGTGCACGTGCGTGGCATGAGATTCGGTGTATGGAATTTCATTCCCCCCGTGAGTGTCACGGGATAAACCGTTTGGTATTTGATGCTCCGCCTGTGACAACGGACACTACCCAACAACCACTTGATTGAAGTAAAAAACCACTAATTTTAAGAACTTTAAACAAAACTGTGTCATTTTCTTTCATCACATTCATGTGGAATCCTTTAAGATAATTTAAGTTATTTTGATACTCTCAGGGAACTTTGATTTCATAATAAAAGTCGTTTAAGAAGATTCATTGTTTGGATAAATAGGGCTAGGTCTGATCATTATAATTTAGACACCTCCCTGTATAAAATTAGTATGGTTTACTGGATGCGTCATGTGAATGCAGTGCTCCGCGGGAGGAAATTGATTACATTCTGTGTTTTGCGCTTACAGCAAAGGAAGGTTCTACTAGGTCATCTCATGAAGGACAAATGGACTCCGCCTTTCGGGATTCATACATTTATGAAAGATCCGCAAAAGAACACTACAGCTCTAAAATGGATTGACTTTATTTTTAAATAACATAAAAATTTGACATCTTTGTGCAGAGCTGTACAATAACTAGCTACTATACATTGTAACGAGACAGGCAGTGTCTCGTAACGAAGATATATTTTATGCGGATAGACGTATAGCAGTCTGTCTTGAAATACTTGTTGAAGATTAGGCACTCGCTATTTTGTTACTTTTGTTTAAATAGGTGTTCGACCTTAGCTTATTTCGCCGCCCACCTTTAACTCGAAGTTAGTCTACACTGTTCTCACTTTCGTTCGAGTGTCAAATGTCCTTGTTGCAAGAGACAGCTGTCTTAATTTTCCGTTGAAGTTGTTCATCACGTTGCGATCGGCAGTTTAAGAGAAACCATCGGATAGTCAACATCAAAGAGGAAATAAAAAGTCGCTAAAATTATTTACGAATAATCGTTCACGCGTTTTCATTCGCGTTTTTTGTCTGCGGTTATTTCATGTGGAAATTAGTGAATAGTCGTAGCAGAATATTACAATTAAAAATACCAACTAGAAGTGAAATGAGTTTACTGACCATTCTGTGTCATCAGATATTATGCAGTGTATCTTTTTATGAAAGATCAGGATCGATGAAGTTACGAGAACATCATTTTTGGAACGGGATTATTTTTAAGCAATAGGTGAGTTGAATTCAAATTTGCTTATCACGTTTTATTCGCAAAAAATGAATAAATGAACACTATCTTTAATTATTCTGTTCGTTATTTAACTGAATTTTGATGTAAACATTTCTCATTAGACTGTTCCGAGGCAAAGGCGCTTGATCACGTTCGCGCTCAACCACTAAGCTCGAAGCTATCGCTCTCGCATCTATGCGCTTGTAATCCTCAATCCTCACGCTCTGATTGGTCCGTGTTGTTCCTTGATAATTCAAAAGTGAAGCTTCCAACCCCATTTTTGCAAATGGAAATCTTGTTCAGAATCACATCCTCTATCACCCTTTCCCTGGAGTTACACGAGTTGTGAGACGCTCTCTATATACCCCTTAAACCAACATTTCAGCGGCTAAAAAATTATAAGTGTTTCTTATTTTTGCTTGCTTGATGAATATACGTAGTTTCATAAAAATCGGAGGGGGACACTTCTATACCTTCTCTTATTAGAGAAGGTCTTGGTTCTATGCATAGTATCTTCCACGATAAATAACGGTATATAATATTGAATCGATGCAGATGCAGTAATTAATACATTTATTAATAGGTTCTTGAATATTGTTTTGTCTCACATTTATGTTTTAACTACAGACTTATCTAAAATATGCTACAGATTTTACTATGTGACAATACTATGTGAAAGAATATAGTTCAGGTGTACGTATTATTCCATTTGCTGCTTTTTATGTGCTTTTTATGTGGTAAATTTCTCTGTAAATATCTACTTTTGCACGGTCTACATTGATAAGCAGTCTGCAACGAGTTTATTACACACTATCTTATACACCAACGTGACTTGCGCAGTCTAATATATAAAATAATAACGTACCTGATATAAAAGATTATCAGCAGGCCAGGCAAACATAAAAATCGTAACTCCTACGGTTACAGCCACTGATAGGTATTGCATCTTCACAGTAAGCGGTTGTGGCTGTTTGTGAAAGCAAATCATCCCATGATTAAACCCAATCGATTTGGACACTGCTATTAATACTACTTACTTGTAATAAATTCATGCCACACATCAATAGTGCTACAACAGCCAAGATTACGGCACATGGAGCTACAAATTTCACAATATTAACCGCAAAATTCGCATACCTAAAATACAAATAGATGATTTAACTGTAAATAATAAATACTAAATCGTATAATTTCTTTATACTCCTTCACAACATAATACTCTTCCATGCGTATTATCAAGTCTTCGGTGTTTTTAACATTGCGTAGTTTCATTTTCAATATCTCGAAACGAGCTGCAGCGAAGAACAACAGAAAACCGCAAAACACGTTAACTGACGAGTTGCCGCTAACGTTACAGATGTATAATGATTGATGCAAGAATATGATGGTCTTCAATGGTTGATAATCAACACGAAACGGATATATAGCGTTCAATGGATAAGGATCGGACATGATGAGTGCTTTCAAAATAAATGTCATTCCCGTCGCATAAGTCCATATAATTAATACTCCATAAAACGTGGAAAATTGTTCCATGTATCGTTGAAACAAACGTCTTGCACTGTCGTTCGCGTTTTTACAAACATCTTCCGTAAGTTCCAGCACCATCTGCACCGTGTATCAAAAATCATTTTAACTAATGGCTTAAGCCTGTGGCGAACAAGTATACTTGTTATATTCCACATAGACAATACATTGCATAAATATACCAACTCCTAATACTTACAATGATATGAGTTTTTGGTAGGAAATTAGGATTATTATTCTAAAACAATAATTCATAGTCTGCATAGAATAAATTCAGCAAAAGAAAATTAATATATTCATGTAAATTTTACGCTGCGTTATATAAAATGTAGTATTCAGTCATGAACAAATAGAGTCAAGTAAAAACTTGTTCACAGTAGAATGAAGTAGAATTTATTTATGGAGATTAAAAAGCGGGGATCCTTGTAGAAAAGGATTTTCTAAGTGAGAAAAGATATGACCAATGTTTTGCGCATTGAAAGCCGAGGTGACTATTATATATTGCAAGTGGCATAGGTCATTGTGTTTTGTCGAAACCTCATCAAAGTGGCGAGATTCCGCAATTCAATTTCTCTTTCGATCTGTATTTGTTTTCAGTGGGATGGATGGGGAAAGATTCAAATAAAATTACGCAATATTGGGGACAATATGAAGAATTTATTGTCCCAGAGGAGGAAAAACGTGACTTGACCAAGTAAAAAAAATACCTCCTCGAAAAAGTACAACAAAATTGTGTTGAAAACAGACGTCTCGAAGAAAATACAACAATTTGCACAGAAAACGACGTATGTGTGTATGTGTGTGTGTATGATAATATCCCAAATGAAGCGAGAGAAAAGGGGGGTGGGGGGAAGGAAGGGTTGGATCCAACCGCGATGTTATAATTCGCTAGTGCTGGACTAGGAATAAAATAGGCGCTGGGCCGTAATAAATTTCGCTAGTGCTGGACTAGGAATTGAAATAGGCGCTGAGCCGTAATAAAAAGCTGCCGCGCGGGGGTTGCTTAGAAAAAGGGAATTTTACGTGCCGAAAGACAACGTGTTGTTGACAAGATCGTGCGAGACCTTCTTGATGGTTTGAGAGAGAGGGCGAGACGCTATGACATCGCGTCGAGAATTCCCGTGCGTTCCCGTGACTCGACACTCTTTATTTTCGATAAATGATACTAGATTTAATTAACGCGTGAAAGGATGCGACTGATCTGTTGATCGTAGATCGCAATGAACACTAAATGATACTTGCACTTGAGGCAACTAATCCGTGACGGCGACTATACGTGCTAGAGAGCTGTTAATTTTTCGATTGCCTAATAGCAACTATGTACTATTTTCTCCGGCGCGTGCCGTACCGGCTTCTTTTTCCGCGTGACCACCCCGCGCCGCCGCAGAGTAGCCGCAACGGTCACGAAGGTCCCCGAACCAAAACGATCCTAAACGAACCTGTCGATTCGCGAATCGTAACGGTCAAGTTCGAACATGTCGTTTCTCGAATTATCCGGTACAGTATTGCCTCGAAACAAGCAAT